AGCTCTGTGGCTGGTAATGACAGCCAGTCACTCTGCCTTTCTGCAAAAATGAATGTGGGAAGTTCCTTCTTCCTCCATAAATCAAATTAGGTGAAAAATTACTAAAAGGACCTCTTCCATCATTCACAGGCACTTCCATGGCAACCGGCACAGGACCGCTCAGCGGAGTGCTTCCCATTCATGGCAGGGAGGAAGGGACCCGGACAGCAACGATCCCCGCAGCTGCGCGGATGCTGTTGGAGGCAACAGCAGGGAACGCTTGCTGTGCCTTTGCAATATCGGGTATGACTGCTCAGCAATGCCAGTGGTGGTGCGGGTTTTTCACCACTGCAATTTAGAAATTTTGCTGCTCACAGAAGGATTTGGACTTAACCTCCCCGTTCACGCACAGAAAAAGTAGGCCTCAGCATAGAGGCGCACGCTACGTGAGCCTCGAATGTCTACGTTATCAGGCAAAAAGGTTAATTTACACTTTGTACCTGCTCATGCCTTGGCACCTCTGCTCACCCTACCTGAAGAAAAGAAGCCAGATGAACGCCAAATGTGGTGATAGTCCTTCTAACCAAACACCTTGCCCCAGCCTGCATTTTACACAGCCTTTTGAGCAAACGTTATGCACCGTCTCCCCTACCTCCGGCCCAGAAAGACACTGGATTTCCATTATCCTGCGACTCAGTTTAGCTGCATCGCTTTTAGTCTCCTTCCATTCTCCAAATAGTGACACCAGGTTTTAAAACGTCCTCTCACATTAAGGGCAGGCAGGAGGGAAGATGAAATTTAGCAGCAGCAAAGCTCTCTGGATCCCACTGGCTGACTGTCCGTAGCTCGTACTGCTTCTCATCCAGCCAGTAGCGCTCCCTGAAAATATAGTCTGTAACTGGAAAAAATTCTTGGCTAACTCAGTAAATCCCATCCTTCCCCACTACAGCATCTGCTCAGCTAGGTCTCATCCTGCTGGGAGTCACAAGAAGTTAGTATGTCCCAGCGTGATCTGTGGGAATGTCTGGGTTTGGCTAAAACAGGGCTATTTCTCCTTTCAGTAGTTCTTCCTTCAGCTAAGTTTCTTCTAAGTAACAGCTCTGCCAGACAGCCCTGCGATGCCATCCCTCAAAGGGCAGAGAGCCAGCTCGCCGGTGCGGCTGCTCCCGGCATCCAACTCTACCTCTTGGCACGCAGCAAAGCTTCCCACCACAATGGCAGCACGTGCTGGGCCATGACCTCCCGAGGGTGGGAATAACACAGGGGGCTTTTGCTCCTGCGGTGACAGGAAGGCAACCGCATCGTCATCTTCATCACGTCCAAATTAAGCGTGACCTGTCGCCGGCTAACGAGGTGCCAAGGCTGGCGAGGCAGTTCCAGAGTAGCTGGGTGGCCAAGACGAGGGTTAGCCTCCCAGCCAACAAAACACCCGGCGTCTGGCACAGCTACAGAGAAATGGGGGAGTCTGAAAGGGCTGGAAACATGGGAGATGCAACTGTGGGTTAGATGGTTTGGGGGATGGTGGAGGAACAGGACAGGGTAGGGGCAGCGATCCCAGATTTTTTCCACTTCAGATTCCTCCTGTTATTCCCTGTCTTTGTTGCTCAGCTATGGGTCCAAATTCAATGTCAGAAATAAACAAGGACTTTGAAATACAAACCAGGAGTGGGTTCTGTTCTTTGGCAGGCAATGTAAAATGGGGTTTATCCAGTGCTGCCTAGAAGCTGTACTGGTGCAAGGTTTTTTTTCTCCCCACTCTTCCTGTTCCTGCTTTTGGTCCTCTTGTGCCCCTCCTTCTCCCTTCCCTCTGGCCTAGGTACATGCAGCCCAAAACCACAGTTTTACAGTTTAGCTCTTTATTGTGACACAGAATTTTTCAGTGTGTTTTGGAAGTTGCCCTTGTAGTAGAAAAATCTGCAGGGCAGACCAGAGAGACGGCTGCTGTCGTCCATGCCCTGCTGCAGGCTGGCCTCTGCGCCCCACCGCCTCCAACTAGAGCTCGTCAGAGATGACAACAGCAGGGACAGGCTTTCCCAACTCACTTCTCAGTAGCTTTCTAGGAACTGATGGTTTGTCTTGTGTAAAATCCTCTTGGTGGAGAGGGAACAGTGATGACTAAGTCCTAGGAATCATTCCTCGCTGAGCAGGCTGGTCTACAGTGACTGGCTCCACAGTCAAGCCAAGTCGGATGGCTTCAAGTGGTAAAGTCTGGCTTGAGGGGGCTCTTGCCCCTGAACTTGGAAGGGAAGTAGGGCCTGGCAGCAGTCAGGGTGACTTGAGCCGACATGACCGGCAGCAAGCCTTCCTGTAGTACCAGTGAGAGCACAGCTTCACCTTCAGCACCAGCACACAGTTGGCCGTTGCTTTGTCATCACAGTCATCTTCTGGAGAGCAGAAGCATCCACAGAAGCGGTTAAAAAGGAGATGTGCTTCCCCAGCAGAGAGCTGGACAGAGCAAAGGGCTCCCAAGGGCTCCTCTCCCTCCCTGCCCTCCCAGTCTTACCTGGTGCCTCTGTGGGGCATGGCTGGAGCTGGCACGTCTGCCTGGCTTCTGGTTTGGAAGTGGGGTCACAGCCCTGAGCCAGCACTTCCCCCTGGTAACACTTCACCTCACGCAGCCGCACACCAGCACCACATGTCTTGCTGCACTGTTGGGATCAAGAAAGAGGAAAGGGATCGTGACAAGCATTTTGTTGTTCTTCTACAGTTCCCAAGTTCATTCTTCCAGTGAGGCCTCCTGGTCCCTGCTTTGGAGACTGTTCTTGAAGATGTTTGCGTCAAATCCCACACTGATCTCAAACTTCTGCTCCCTTTTTGCTGCTGGAGGACAGCCTTCCTGAGCTGGGATTGGGGCAGAGCAAGGGAGGAGTTTACTTTCATCTCTTTAATGCAACTCAGAACTGTTTTTCCTTTGAGTGTTGATGCTGTGACAGAAGATGGAGAAAACGGTTGCTGCGAGCCAGGCCCAGCTTGCCCTGTCCTCCCATTCCCTAGAGGCTCACCAGTTAAAAGCAAGAGAAAGCAGGGAAGGACAGAATGTCGGCTCCTGACAGAGGAGGAGACACGGCTGTATCCTCTATGCCTGCAGTGTGGTGTATGCTCTTGCTTGAGGCAACAATCCACACGCTCTACGTTTGTGTGTGCCAGACCCTGCACCTGCTGCCTGGCCTGCAGAAGAGCCGAGCTCATGGTCCCATCCGGACCTAACAGAGGCCTCGGCAGAACAGGCTGCTAGAATGCCTCAGCACAGGTCATGCTCCACCAACCAGCGTTATGAGGCCACCTCTCTCCCTTCCCCACCACCCCGAGCCCTACCTGAGACCAGGAGGTAGTGAACCACGTTGAACATGGTCTCCTGAAACAGGCAGCTTGTTCCTCAGGTTTCTGGGCGGCTTCACAGTGCTTCTCAGGGTACTCCCTGTACACACCATTCTCCAGGCCTGCACACAAAATGACCCGGGTCTTTGTCCCTCTCCCACAGCTGGCATCACACTGGGAAAGAGAAGTAACAGCCAGGTAACAAATGATGCTCGTCAGCTGTAGAGCTTCAAGTAAGATGGCATCCTGCTCAGAAGCAAAGTGCTTAATGCCTGTGCTAACACCAGTCTAACGGAGGTGGTGCTGTCCGGGTCACAGGAGCAACGGGTGTCTGCAAAGGAGCTGAATTTCTTAGGGAGTGGGGACAGGAGCTGGTAATTTGGGTTTAGGCAGCACTGGGGATGCGGAATTCACCTTGGCTGGCCTTGAGAGCAGCTACCACAAGGGACCTGGAGCAGCCAAGGTTAAGACTACAAGAGGCCGTTTCTGTCTTACATGTATCTATGTTCTTAAAAACCACATAGCATATTCACATAGCAACCTACATCTTGGAGTGCTGACAACCTTTGTGTAGGCCCAAGGGGACCAAAGTGGTGCACTGAAGGTGATTTGCATGGACAAGTACTGCTGAGCCCAAAGTTATGCAGGCTTAGCTGGGAGGACTCACTCTCTCAGGACACCACCAAGAGAAGCAGCAGTAGGCAGGATCTGATTCTAACTCAGCTCTTCTCCCCAGTGCCCATGGAGGCAGTTACCAGTTGGAGCTTTCACTGCTTTGTGCCCTTCTTTGCCACGGCAGGGCCAGCACAACGGGCTTGCAGCTGCCCTTAGTCATCCTGTGAACTCAGAGCTGATCAGCTATGAGAACACAGCAAAGGCAAAGAAGTTGGCAGAGGCAAAGGTGGAGCGCTCAGCAGAGTTCAGGTGAGTTTAATTGCCTGGACACAGCTGAAAAACTGCACTGCAGTACTGTGTGTGACCCACACTGTAGGCCAAAGCAGGAGAGGGTTATGGGGACTGCCATGGGTCTCCAGGTTTAACTGCTTTGTGCTTCTTACCAGTGCTGGAGGGAGACTCAGCTGAATGTAGTCAACAGCTATAAAGGGTGGTAGCAAAATGAGAACAGAGGTTTAGCTATGGTTGGAGGGGAGGAGGCTTGGCTGCTTCTCTGGTTCTGTAGAAACTTTCTTCTTTAGTGCTTTGTGAATCTCTATTTTGCTCAAGATTTTAAAGACAAAGCCCAAGCCCCACAACTGACTTGATACGTTTTTCTGAGTGCTCTGGGATTTGGCTCAACTTGTATGGGGAAGCCTAAAGCCTCTAGGCCTTGAGCAACAGAAGTGGAAGTAAGTAGGTTGGCAGAGACCGATCGTTTGGTAGAACAGGGTGCCTGGACCACGTTCACTGGACTCCAAGTCCTGAGGCAAGTACACAGGCATGGTCTGCATGTGACTTCCAGGGCCGGCACCTGGGCTGTGGTCCAGGTTTACCTCTGTCTATTATTTATCAGAGACGAAGCTGGTTTTGTTGAGGCTTTCTCTTTAGTGGTGGGACCAAAGTCTTGGGAGGGGTGAATGCAGGTTCTGGACAAAGAGCTCTGCTGAGGTGTCGGCAGCTGCCAGCTGGGAGCCAGGGGTGGGAGAGGAGGAGTTTCCTTAGGACATTGCTGCCCTCCAATGGAGGCCTCTGGCAAGGCAGCAAATGCCACAAACTTTGGGGTGGTCTATAGGGTATGGGGGGGACAAGCTGTGGTATTAATTCGTCTTTCCCTCTTTCTAAAAGGACATAGGACAAGGGTACAGCTCCATGGCTGGAGGTTGCACCATACAACCTTGCTCTGCCAAGGGAGCCAGGCTCCCACTATCTCCTGTGGGATACGGGGTGGAAAGGAAGGCTGAGGACACAGGGCTGGGCTTGGCTTTACCTGGTCCCACTCCTGCTCCACCCAGTGTGCGGGACAGTTCTTGTCTCCACACGGATGGACAGCCAGGGGCTTGGTGGCTGGGTCACACTGCGAGTTCGAGATCACTTTGCCCTCCAGGTTGCGACACGTGATGAAGCGGCTCATGCGTCCTTTGCCACACGAACCTGAGCACTTGGAGGAATAAAGGGCATTTAGACACATCAGAAGGCAGAAGGGTGGAGGGGTCATGGTCACTGTGGCACTGGATCCCAAGGGTCTTCAGAGGTACATCTGGTCAGAGGCTTCCATTCTCCAGGTGCTGCGAGCTTCCCAGACTACTGAACGGAGCTCACCTCACAGCTAACCAAAATTTACAGCGTGGAGAGGCAAAAATACAGATTATTCTAGTTTCTTTAGCTTAGCCTCTGCCAGAAGAAAGCCAAAAGAGAGCAGTAGTATGACTGCTCACCTGCTCCCTCCTGCCAGACCTGCACCCCTGGCATAGGGTGCAAGGAGAAGCAGACCCTCTGGACTCACCGGGCCCCAATCTGAAGCAGTCCAGCGGCGGTCGCAGGGTGGGCCTGTGCATGCCTTCTCGCTGCTGGGCTTCCAGGACTCGTCGCAGAGCGGTGCTTCCACTGAGCAGCGTACCTCCCGCTTCATTGTCCCCTGCGTGCCACACCGGGCCGAACACTGCGATGGTCACACAGAGTCAGCTCCGGGGCTCAGAAGCAGAGAACAAGGGGGACGAGCAAAGGTGAGGAAGGCAGCTGTGCCTCCTCCCGTTTTCCTCCTATTGCACTAGGGGAGAGGGCAAGGGCCCCAGCAGGGACAGAAAAAGGTATGTCTGTCTCTATCTCTGCTGCTTATTTACTTTGGGTCCTAGAGCTTCAATGCTCCAAGATGCTGATGCCTGGACTACTGTTCAAAGTCACTGGGCCACTGGCTCAGTCCCAAGCATGCTGTGGAAAGTCAATCAAAGGGATTTCAATTGGGTTTTAGCTTCTCTGTATCTCCA